ATATAATTTTTTGGTTAGTTTCATTTAAAAGGAACTCAAAAATTCTGAGTTAAATACTGTATATAAATAAACAGATGACAGTTATAGTCACTGAAACACTTGAGTGCATCGTTTTTCCCACTGAGAGCTCATTGAATGTTGTATCAAATTTTATTAAGCAAAGCTGAAGAGGGAATTAACTTGAATTGCAAAAATCTCTTTTCAGATGAAATAAAGCAGCTGTCAAATTCAAACAGACGTGCCTAGGACAACTGGGTCATCAGCTGTCTTGACATTTCTGGAAACAAGCAGAGGGTAAAACTTCCCTTCTGGTGTAGTTTTAGAGTCAGGAATTCAGTTTCCATGGAGATTTTATTTGAAAAGCACACTGTTTAAATATTTGTAAATGCAGGACCTTTACATTTGTATATTTCCCTCTGAATTGCATTTTGACAAATTAAGGACAAATGGAAGACAGAATCCAGACTCAGCAAAGAGAAAACAACAAAAAGAGCAAGCTCGAGTCTCACGTATCCTCTCACAGTCCTAAGAATTTCACCGAAAGTGTATGTTACAGCTTAAATTTTTATTCAGGATTCTTCTAAAATGCCAGTTCCCTGAGCAATGCCATTCCTTTCAATGAAAAATATACCTCTTTGCAAATTCCTCGAGTTCCCTACTGTTGAACGATGTTTCAGTGACCAAACAATTCACCTGTTTAGTTACCTTAATAGCAGAGAGGTCAATTTTTTCTTCCTTAGGTTTGGCTGGGGCAGGGGCTGGGGCTGGGGCAGGGGCCGGGGTAGCAGCAGCAGCAGCAGCAGGCTTCTTCACATCTTTCTTTGGTGCCATTTTGTTTAAAAGGATGGGTTAAAAAAAGAAGGATCTCCTCCAGAAGAACCTGTCAAAGTGATACTTGGAAGAGCAGTGGTGGCTCGCTTGACCCGCAGCCCAGTGTCTTGAGGGTGGACCCAGAGTGTTAAATGGTATAAGGGCATCCATATATATTTCACTTAGTGCCTAGCAGAACCTTGACACATGCAGCTGGATTGGACGGTTAGCTCGTCAAGGGGGATGGCATTCGGGCTCAGACTATAAATGGAATCCAAAGGGTCAGGGCTTCCTCAAGTTTTTTGAACTCCTCTTGCCCTTTTTTTTTTTTTTTTTTTTTTTTTCTTTTTCTTTTTCCTCCTCCACCTCCACATATAAAGGAGAAAGAAGCACGACAGAGCCAACTTCAGAACTTTGGTGACAGCAAAGTAGATTGACATTCTTTTTTCTTGGTAGATATAGAATTTAGAATTACAGTTCGGCTGAAGTTGTAAGTCTTTTTTTTTTTTTTTTTCATCTTAAGAAACATTACCGCAGGGTTTGATTTCAACTTGGAATTTTGGCAGAGGGTGTCACCAACTTTCACCCAGCTTCCTCACTGTTCCTGCTCCTCCTTCCCTGGCCATCATTTGCAAGAAAATGTTGGTCAGCAAAGAGGTCACTGGTAGTGTTTAAAAATAAAAAGCAGACGTATAAGGAAAGCCTACCAAATCATAAACTGGTTTCCTTTCTAGGGAGTACAGTCTCTCTCTCTCTCTCTCTCTCTCTCTCTCTCTCTCTCTCTCTTTCTCTCTCTCTCTCTCTCCCCAAAGAAAAATAATTTAAAAATTATTTTCTATGATTTAATTTTCTTCTACAGTTTGATGATGGAGGTGACAGCAGGCTTACCTTTTTTTTCATGTACACTTTTACTGAATTTTTGTGCATTTTATACAAAACATCTTAATCATCTTTATCCCTCTAGCCCCATCCACATCCCTCATAGCCCTGTCACCAGATTTACCTTTTTGCAAAACAACTTTTCTAATAGTAAAGTCACTTTCAAATGATGAACTTAGCCATTTTCCTTTCTAAGTGGCATAAAGTACAATGATTTGCCACCTGAATTTTGTATCCACGCTAGAGAGATAAATGCAGTTTTACAGAAACAAATAAAGAAAAGAACTTTATCAATACTGGGCAAGTTTTTCTGAATAACTTAGACATTTACTTTTTCATCAGGCTTGCACAGTAAGTACTTTACCTACTGAGACATCTCATGAGCCCATGATCAGTTATTAGTAAAACAAAACAGAGCTCATTTGGGGTTCTTTTGTTTGTTTATTTGTTTGTTTGTTGAGACAGGGTCTCCCTGTAGCCCCAGCTGGCCTGGAACTTCCTATGCAGACCATCCCATGCTCGCCTTGATCTCACAGAGATCTGGCTGTCTCCGTCTCCCAAGTGGCCAGTTGGGATTTTTAACTTAACTTATTTACCATATGTGAGTATATTATGTATATACACATAATATACTGTAAATATATGTATATGTTTATGTGTCTATATGTTCTAGTTATTACATATAATTGTGTTTAAAGACAACATTTGTTCTGGTCTGATATAAAAGAATTCCTCATACATTGCAACTAAGAAAAATTAAGACTTTAACATTACAAATAATTCACCAATTATAACTGACCTACCACTAATAGTTTCCTAATTGCACGCATTGGCCTGATCTACTAAATTCTTTTGTCCACATATGTTCAGGAAAGGTATTTTGTTATTTTTTTCAGTGCTAGGGATGGAACCCAGGGCCTTGTGCATGCTAGGCAAGCACTCTACCACTGAGTTACATCACTAGTCCAGGAAAAATATTTTAAAAATTATTCTAAATTATTATTAAACTGATTTTTAAAAAATCCACAAAATTGTGACTATAAATGAGATACTCTGTCTTATTTCTCTCTATATGTACACACACACACACATATATATATATAATGTAAACAGAATAACATATCTATTTCCCCAAATATTTATTACTTTCTTATGGTGAAAGCAGTTAAAGTTCTGTCTTCTGGCTTTGTGAATTGTACAACACACTTTATGACCTGTGGTTATACACTAGAGTTTGACTTCTGTGTAATTACATCTTAGTCCATGAATCAACATTTTTCCATCCCTACCTTCCTGCTATTCTTCCTTGCCTCTGGCAACCACCACTCTGCATCAAATCAACTTTATCTTTATTTTCTTTTTGTTCTCCTGTTTTTTTTGACAAGGTCTTGTTATATAGGCAAGGCTGGCATTTAAATTACAGTGATTCACCTGCTCAGCCTCCCAAGTGCTGGGGTGATAATCATATACCACCACTCCCAGTGGGTGCAGATGAATACTTTTTATGTTTATATGTGAGGACTGAGGTCCACCCAGTGCCCACCACTTCCTTCCCCCCATGCTTCCTACTACAGACTCTTTCATTCCATAATTTTAACTGTTGATATACATTTCTTGCAAACAGGACAGTTATGAGAATCTGGATTTTTATTTTTTGTCTTTTTGAGACAGGGTCTCCCTGTAGCTCCAGCTGTCCTGGAACTCACTATGTAGACCAAGCTCACCTGAAACTTACAAAGGTTCAGTTCACCTGCCTCTGCTGCCCAAGTGCTAGGATTAATGGTGTGTGCCACCACACCCTGTGAGAATCTGATTTTTTTAAATTTTGTTTTTTAATTTTATGTGTATGTGCGTATTGCCTGCATGTGTGTAAGTGCACCTATCTGGTGCAGTTCCTGTGGAGAACAGAAGAAAGTGTCAGATCCCTGGAACTGGAGTTACATACAGCTATTAGTTGCCATGTGGGTGCTGGGATTCAAACCTAGGCCTTCTGCAAGAACAACCATTGCTCTTAATCACTGAGCCATAGCTCCAGCCCCAAGAATCTGAATTTTTGTTTTTTATGTGTATGAGTGTATTGCCTGCATGTAGGTAAGTGCACCCGTGTCATGCAATGCCCAC